GGAATGAAAAACAAGGTATCACCTTATCAGCACAAGGATTTGCATAATTTCCTTATTTTTTGCACTCATTTGCAGTTTTGTTCCCTTGGCGTGCTTTTTGGGAAATGCCTGTTATGCAGGCTACATGTACATAATTTGTAAAATTTTCTTACAGTTTTTAAAATCACATCCTACTTTCCACAAGATCTAGAATCATTTGTGATCACAGAACGTGACTGAATCCCAGGTCAAAAAAAAACTCTCCAATCATGTGTAAGTATATATTGCATATCTCCAAATTCCCTTGCCTCCACTGGAATGTGTAGTTTCAGATAGTCATACTCCACCCCCATCCCCACCCCCACTCCAGCCCACACGAAGGAGGGTTATTGGAAATTCCAAGGGGGAGGGGTCTCAAGAACCAAAATGTATAAAGGAAAGTATGATCCCAAACTGGAATCCCCAGGGGGATGGAGGAGGCCTGGGGNCTTCAAACCAAAAAAACCTCAGTAGGAGGGGTTTGGAAATTTTCTGGAACAACAAAGTCACAATAATTGTGTGATTATTTTCAATCACATTAAAATGTGGTTTAACTGGTCTTTTGCTTAAACACAATCCAACTTTAACTGTTGTTGTTCTGCAAACATTAGTTGCTACTTGGTGATGGCATGACAATTTGTATGAAGTTATATTCCTTCGAGCAAGTTGTAAGTTGTCAAATGTTAGAGAACGTATACCTTTCTCCAATTAACTTGTCTTACAGAACTGAAGATTACCCTCCTTAAATATTGCCATATCTTAAACTCAGAAGCATTTTTAGTGCTTAAGAACACATGCTGGGGTTTATTACCATCTCTGTGAATTAATATCATCAAAAAGCACTCTCTTCTTACCATTTTTTTAACTTAAATCGTGTTTCTTTTTTTTCTCTAGAACATACTTTATGGATACTACTCAAGTGACATTCAAGGGGGGAAAACATTAGATTATGATAAATGGTACCAAGTTACATGGACTTGGAAGAAAAGCAACAAAATGCGGTAAGTGCATCAGATTATCACACACTGAAAGGAAATAAATAAACATTTTTTACATCAGTCTACAGTTGGGAGGTGCAGTGGCCTCATGGTTAGTGTGCCCATCTCTAGATCAAGCAGTCCAGGTTCGAGCCCTGGCCAGGGACATTGCGTTGTGTCCTTAGGAAAGATACCTTTTACTCTCACAGTGCCTCTGTCCTCCCAGGTGTACAAATGGGTAACAGCGGACTTAACGCTGGGGGGTGACCCTGTGATGGACTAGTATCCCATCTAGGGGGGAGTAGAAATACTCCTAGTCACTTCATGCTACAGAAACTGGGATAAGTTCTGGCCTGATGAGCCACTTGGCTTATATACAGACTTTACCTACCTACCTTCACCTACAGAAGTACAATCAGTGCATTATTATTTTACTTCAATTTGTTTATGGCATTTTTTGGCATCACTTCCTCTCTCACCAATTAATAATATTTAATCTCTTTTTATTTTTGCCCCTATACTAGGAAAATATTCATAGATGGCAAACTGAACACTGCAGACAACTCTAAGAATTCTTATCAAGGACTAAGTGGACAAACACAAATTGGAACATGGTGGAGTGGAAATAATGGATTGACAACCAACTTGGAGATTGATACTCTTTACATCATTGACAAGGCTATAGAGTATACTCCAATAGACCAGCAGTTATGTTTTGCCAAGGCTTTGAACTCTTACATGCCTTAACTGGAGATAACCTAGAAAATCATACTGAAATTAAGGCATTGGTAATACCTCTGACTTCTGGTAATATATGAGTCAATATTAAGCATGTCTTGTTTAGTGTTTTTTGTTTGTTTGTTTGTTTTGTTTTGTTGCTGTCTTTTTTGCAATAAAACTATCCAGTTGCAAACTACATGAAAGTATTTCCTAGAAATTTATAAAAAT